ACTGTACTAAGTCTCGGGGGTACAAATATGAAGAAAGACAGCCCCTGTTCTCAAGGAGCTTACAATCTAATGGGAGAAGACAACACACAAAAAGAAGTTGAAGGGGGATGGAGAAAGCACTCAGTGTGTGAGCACTGGGGAGAAATCAGAGAAGTACCAAAGTAGTGCAGCCAGGTGGGAAGTGAGATGTGCATCCTGAGCCCCTCTCCTCCAGTAGTGTTTCTGGCGATCAAGATTCCACCCTCTAAACCAGGGGTGGGGAGCCTGTGGCCTCGAGGCTACATGTGGGTATGGCCTTTTGCCTGAATCCAAGTCTTATAGAACAAATCCTTCTATTAAGGGGATTTGTTCTATGAAATTTGGATTCAGTCGAAGGGCTGCACTCGAGGACCTAGAGGGCCTCGAAGATGCAGGTTCCCCATCCTTATAGTCTAAACAAAGGAGCAGAGGGTAATGATGAGGTATTGTGACATTTTAAAAGTTTGAGAAACATAATTTCTTGGCAATTTAATTATTTTATTAGTAAGGCTAGCATATTATTAATAAAAAAGGTCAGTGGCATTCTCGAATGCAAAGACCTCTCCTAGCGGCTGGCTCATAGCTTATATGCCCTTAGAAGAGCAGGTGTTTCTGAGGGTGGCAATCAATTCTGATTGGTCAGCAATTAATGAGAAAATTAATATTATAATGAGATGTGAGCTCATTTTAATGAGGGTCTTGGGGGTACATTATTTGGATCACCCAAGTCTTGATCAAAGAGACTTATCAAGAGGGAATCCACTTCTACCCCACACCTATCTGACGAAACGCAATGAACAGGAATTCACTGGTTCTCTCAGTCTGGTTGGGTAAGTCGTTGCCCAAGATTTCCCACACTGCTTGGTTTCTGGATGTGGAAGTTGCAAAGGGGAAAAACTCTGGTTCTGATTCAATGATCAGTTATTAACACAAGAAAGAAACACTCCTTTCTCTCAGCATGAGTACCAAGGCTCATCCCATCATGCAGGATAAGGCTTTCCCAATAATGAGCTTCCTGACACATGGTAGAGCAGTCAGGGGCATTTTTTCCTGTCTATTACTCGCTTCCCTGCCTACAAACAGACCTGTATCTCCCAAATCCACAAAGCACCCTCATTTGATCCATCCACCCTGCTAGCTTGTATCCCATCTCTTCTCCCTTTTATGCCTGAATGCCTTGAGAAGGACATCTACAACAGGCACCTCCATTTCCTTTCTTCTCTGTCTCTTCTTAACCCTACAGCCTGGCTTCCGACCTCTTCATTTGACCAAAACTGCTGTCTCCAGGGTTACCAGTGATCCCCTAAATGCCGTATCTAGCATCCTTTTCCTAGTCCACATTTTCCTAAGCCTCTTCTCTTTGATCTTCCCTTTTCTCTAGATTTTTGGGACACCACTCTCTCCTGGCTCTCCTCCTACCTCTCTGACCACTCCTTCTCGTTCTCTTTTGCTGGATCCTCATCCAGATCATACCCTTTAACAGTAGGTGTCCCTGAGAATTCAGTCCTGCTCTTTTCTTCTCTCTCTATACTACTTTACTTGGTGACCTCATCAGCTCCCATGGATTTAGTTACCATCTCTATACTGATGATTCTCAGATCTATTTATCCAGCCCTAACCTCTCTTCTGACTTCCAGTCTCCCATTCCCAAGATCATCATCAATTTCTTAAACTCAACCCATCCCAAACTGCACTTGTTACCTTTCCTCACCATATCCTCCCAGGCACCTAGGCTAGCAACCTCAGTATCATCAACTCCTCCCATTCTCACCTCCATTACCCCACATCCAATCTGTTGCCAAAGCCTGTCAATTTAACCTTCATAACATCTCTCCTACATGCCCTGTTCTCTCCTGTAACATTGCCACCACTTTTGTACAGGCCCTCATCCCCTCACATCTGGACTACTGCAACAGCTTGCCAGTTGGTCTTCCTTCCACAATTCTCTTCCCACTCTAGTCCATGCTAAACTGTCAAAGTTATCTTCCTAAAGGTAGGTCTGGCCATGTGACACACCCCTTACTCAATAATCCAATAGCTCCCTATCACCTCAGGAACAAATAGAAATCCTCTGTTTGTGAACAGACAGACTTCAGAAAAAACTGTGAAGACTTGTATGGACTGATGCTGTGTGAAATGAGCAGAGAACGTTGTACATAGTAACAGCTATGTTGTGCAATGACTAACGTTGTTAGACTTAACCCTTCTCAGCAATGCAAGGATCTAAGACATCTCCAAAGGCCTCATGATGGAAAATGCTATCCACATCCAAAGAAAGAACTATGGAGTTTGAATGCAGATGGAAGCATGCTATTTGCTCTTTTTTTTCTTCTGTTGTGTTTTGTCTCCTCTTTCTGGTGGTTCCTTCTATTGGTTCTAATTCTTACTTGCAACATCACTAATGTGAAAACACATTTAATAGGAATGTAAATATATAGCCTATATCAGATTGTGTGCCATCTAGGGGAGGGAGGTGGAGAAGGAGGGGGAGAAAAATTTAAAACTCAAAAGCTTAGGGAAGTGATTGTTGATAAATCAAAATAAATTAATTTAAAAAATTTTTTTTAAAAAGTAAATTCTCTGCTCAGAGCTCAAAGCTATTCATAACCTGACCCTTATTCTCTTCCACCTTTCTAGTCTTACCTCTTATATTGTTGCTGTTCAGTCAACTAGTCATGTCCAACTATTCTTGACCCCATTTGGGTTTTTTTTTAGCAAAGATAGTGAAGTGGTTTGCCATTTCTTTCTCCAGCTCATTTCCTATGTGAGGAAACTGAGGCAAAGTTATGTGATTTGCCTAGGTGTCTGAGGCTGGATTTGAACTCAGGTCCTCCTGACTCCAGGGCTGGCACTCTATCCACTGTGCCACCTAGCTGTCCTTATACTTTATATATCCCTACATAATCTACAATCAGTGACACTGGCATCCTTGCTGTTTTCCCCCAACTATAGGCATTTTCACTGGCCCCCATTCCTGGGACTCTCTTCCTTCTCATCTTTACCTCTTGGCTTCCCTGTTTTCCTTCAAGTCCCAGCTAAAATCCCACCTTCTAATTTTAGAAAAACATGGAAAGACTTACATGAAATAATGAAGAGTAAAATGAATAGAATCAAAAGGACATTGTGTACAATAACAGGAATATTGTTTGAAGAATAACTGTGAATGACTAAGTTATTCTGAGTATTATAAATCTTTAAATCAACTACAAAGGACCTATGAGGGAAGATGCTATCTACCTCTAGAGAATGATCTGATAAATCTAAGTGTACATAGTATGGTTTTACACACACACACACACACACACACACAGAGTTTGTGTCAAATGATGGCCTTCTCTAGTTTGGAGTGCAGCAGAAGGGAGACAGTTCAGAATTTAAAATGTAACCAAAAAAAAATTAAATTAAAAAATGAATAAATAAAATCCCTCCTTCTGTGAAAAGCCTTTTCCAACCCCTTCAATTTCTTCTGTGTTGATTTTCTCCACTTTATCCTGCATAAAACTGGTTTGTACATAGATTTTTCATGTAATCTCCCCCATCAGATCTTGAACTTCTTGAGAGCAATCATTTACCTTTCTTTGTATCCCCAGGACTTGGCACAGAAATTGGTACTGAGAAGAATGATTTAATAACCAATGTTTTAGGGAGATCCAGAGTTTGCCCCTTTTTTCTAAGGACCTAATTTTAGCCTCTGAAGGAGAAGGACTGGACTGATGATAGCAGATAGAATTAACATTCTTCTCAATCTAAGTATTGTTACCCCACCCAACCTTACAAAGAACTTAATCCAAAGTGAAATTCTTATACTGCGACTTGGGTGAGGGGGATATGGATTTCTTGTCTAGATTTCCCCAAGGCTGGGGGTTGATATGGAAGTAAAAGACATGACCAAAATTACATCCCCAGTCCTTCATTAGAACAGGTCAACTTCTCATTCTAAGATTCATTCTCTCTCATTACTTGTTAACCAGTCAGGGTTGATTGCCACCACTCAGGAACAAGGGCATATGAACCGTGAGCCCACCACCGTGATTGACCTTTGGCATTCAGGAGTGTCACTGACCCTTTTATTAATAAAATGCTAACATTATTAATAAAATGATTAATTACCCAGAAATGACGTCTCTCAACATAGGGGAGGGGGGAGGGGTGTGAAAATGCCTGTAGTTGAGAGATAGGGAGTCTTATTCAAGAAACAGCAAGGATGCCAGTGTCACTAATTGTAGGTTATGTAAGGATATATAAGGGTATATAAGGCGTGAAGTCCACTAGGTGGCACAGTGGATAGTGTCACAGCACTCATTAAGCGCTTAATAAATATTTATTGACTGATTGAGTAAAGAGAGATAAAACCAGGAAGGTGTTTGGGGTCAAAGGCTTTTAATAGCAGGACAAAAAATTTGGACTTTACTGGAATGGCAATATCTCAGAACCACTTAAGTTTCTGTTTTGGTTTCATTTTAGCAAGAACTGATGTGTGGAAAGTAGCCTTTTAGGGTTTCTCTATGGGCAGCACACAGGATGGATTGAAAGGGGTAGTGAGACCACTCTGGAGGTATTATACTAAATGACCTCTAGATTATTCCTTTTGGATCCTGACTCTGATATCTAGTATTATCTTTCCCACTTTCCCACTCAGTGGAAGAAGGATACTCCATGCCCCTACCCACCCAATGTTTCTTTTAGAAATATCAAGAAATCAATATTCTTATTATTCTGATAGGAAGACTTTGGACTCACCTGAATGAAATAAGTTGGGTTTTTTTTAAATTATTTAATCATATGCAAATGAGAGTATCCTAGCCTGAAATCTTCTTGTAACATCCTTTTCAAAAGCCTAACCAGCTTCTAAAGAGAAACTAAGTGAAAGTTCAGAGAACTCAGATCCTTGCAAAGACAGAACTACCCTGGGAGTTAGGTGCTATCATTATCCTCATTTTCCAGGTGAGAAAATGGAGGTAAACAGAGGGTGAGTAACTTACCCAGGGTGAAACTGCTTTGAACCTCCTTCTACGCAGAGATGCTTATGAATAGTTAGACTGTGAACTCCATGAAAGCACGGGCTGTGTTTTTTGTCTTTCTTTGTGTCCCCAGGGCTTAACACTGTGGCTGGCACATAGAAGGAAAAAAAACACACCTTTTTCACCATACAGATCCTTTAATGGCTTTGTCCTAACCAGGGAGAAGCTTTGTCTGTATTTTTGACTTTTGTTTACATGACCTCTCAGCAGCCAAGGAATGGAGAAGTTCCTTCTTGGCATTCTTTTCCCCCTCAGATGGAGTTCTGTGGTTTCATCTGCATGCAATGATGGTTTAATTAATTAACAACTTCTGCCCAAGTTTTCCTTAAGCAACCTTAGCCACTGGCTTGAATTCTGTACTAGGTTACAGTCAGAAAGGTGAGCTCAGGGCTGACTCAACACTGTGGCATCTAGTCTTTACCCCTTATGGAGGCAAATGGACCTCAGTGGAAGCCATTACCCATTCTCCTCCCACCCAGCCGCCACAATTTCTCTGTTGTCACTCACCCCTCAATACAGAATTTCTACACATGATCTTGTAGCATTATCCTTCACAGCAGAAGAGAAGCTCAGACAGAAAGCTGATTTTTATCGCTATATTCACTGTTTTCTTGTACTGTGGTATTTTATGTAACTAATCAGTTCAAGTGGGTTTGAGCAATGCTAATTATTTATTTTCTCGTTTAAAAAGTGATTTGGAAGACAGGGTGAACTTCCTTTTAATTCAATGATTCAATTCCATTCAATAATAAACAAATATTTATTAAGCACCTACTATGTGCAAGGCACTGTGCTAAGTTTAAAATTAAAAATGAATGAATCTCACTCTTTGCTCTCTCGGTATTTACAATTGTTAGGGAAGAAATATCTCCTTTTTTGAGTTCATGTGGTAGGTAAAAGCTGCCGAAATAGTTCTACCATGATGCAAAAATTATAGAGGCAAAAACTTAGGTTTTATTATGCTTTAACTCATATTCAGAGAGGTAGAAAAATAATCCCTGAACCCTAATTAGGATTCTAATAAGGCTTCTTATAGATAAAATTATATCAGAGTGACAGAGGAAAAAAATTCTTTTATATATTGCTATCTTATACATTCTCTCAAACCATAAAAGTTTTTTTTAAAGACAGATTAATAATTCCACGCTTCTTTCAGTATCATAAAAGTTGAATAAACTTAGTTAAGTAAAGTCACAAATCTCATACATCCCCTAAAGAAACAAACCTAGTTAGACTCTATAGGTAAAGTAAGTCAGATTATAGATTAAACTGCATTTAGAGGGTTCACAAATAAGCTGATTGAGGGGCAAGATTTACATGTCACCAAGATAACCAAGAAATTGAGGTACCAGGGAAATTCTTCCTTACACAATTAGCTAGGGGAGCTAACAAATAACTAAATCACTCTGAGGAGCTCAAACTTCCCTATGATTTTTATCAGAAAAATGTCAGACAGTCTTCCCTTAACACTATTATTCCATGAGTCAGGTTTTGGTCAGATGAGGTTAATATTAACAGAAGATAGGCTTTTAGTTAACCAAAAGTTGCAGAAGGAATGGCACTGTATCCCAAATAATAAAATTTAATAAAAGGAAATAAAAAATTCCCATAACACAACCTAGTAGGGAAAGATAAATTCTGGAGATTTTACATATAACTAAAATGTGAAATAGAATATGGCAAGTTCTTAGGAGAAATACAAAGAGCTACGAGAGATCTGAGGAAGCAGAGATTGCTTCTAGCTAGGGCAGGGAAAAGGGCATTGAAATACTCAGTGAGTGAAAGAGTCAACATAATATGATAAAACAAACTAAAACATCATGAAATCATAAATTTTTAGATTTGAAGAAGATATTAAAGATGAATCCCTCTCCCGCCTCCCCCTTTTACAAATGAGAAAATTGAGATTTAAAAAGGTCGAGTGAAGGGGCAGCTAGGTGGCACAGTGGATGGAGCACCAGCCCTGAGTTCAAATCTGGCCTCAGACCAAACACTTGACACTTACTAGCTATGTGACCCTGGGCAAGTCACTTAACCCCAACTGCCTAAAAACAAACAAACAAACAAACAAACAAACAAACAAAACCAAACAAAAAGGTCTAGTGACCTGCCCCAGGTCACGGCAAGTAAGTGGCAGAATTAGTACTAAAATCCAGCTCTCCTGACTCTATATTATGATTCTTCACTTTGGAAAGAAAACTGAGAGGTGATAAAAATCAGTCTATAAAGTGAAGGAATAGTATGGTGAGGGGTAATGTGACCATATTCATCAAAATATGGAAAACTATATTACAATGCCTGTTGATGGATTGACTCATTGGGTGTAGTCATTCAACAAGTTCTGAGTGCATCTAACTACCACATCTCTCCATCTTGGCCCCAAGAAGGTGATATGAATCTCTCTTAAATGCTTTACTGAAATCTACATATCCTCTGCCTAGAGTAGAGGTTCTCAACCTTTAGTGTGTCATGGACCCCTTTGGCAGTCTGTTGAAACCTACAGACCCCTTCTCAGAATGTTTTTAAATGCACAAAATAAAATAGGATTACAAATTAAACTAATTACATTGTAATAGTTATGAAAATAGTAAAAAAAAAAACCCAAACACAAAACCAACCCATTCCTATTTCCCAGGTTTAGTTTAGAGCAGAAGTTCTAAAAGTGTGGTCCAGGAGCCCCTGAGTGTCCCTAAGACCTTTTCAGGAAGTATGCAGAGTTAATTAATTGCAAGTATCAAAGAAAGCCTTTCTCTAGTGCATTCTCTACCAATGATTGAGGAATAATAAATCAGATAGCAACATTATTAATTAAAATAGAATATCAAATAAATATCAAAAGAAATGTATTCTTCCTCTCCCCACCCCTGCCCCCCAGCACAGGGCTATATAATTCCCCATTGTGAGAGGGAACACACATAACTACATAATAAACAACTCATGCCTCTGAGATTGCAAGCCAATGGAAAACCTCAAGGTTCCTACTCCCAGCAACCAACTGTGCCTCCCTACTGCTGCACTCCCGTTAGCTGCTTTTTCTTTCTGTCTTTGGCACCTAGCACAAGCACCGTAAAAATTACCAAGGAGCTTTGGCAAGCCCTAAGGAGGGGACAGGGAGTTGCTGAAAAATTTTGCCCTCTATTCCTGCCCGTTAGACACAAATTTTAATCCCCTTTATAATTAGAATAGGAGGGCAATATTTGTCATTTGAAAGAGGTGACAAATGAAAAGTCCAAGAGAGAATTTCTGGGTAATTGATAATCAAATTGTTAATTAGGCTAACAAATAATCAATAAAAATTGAGGTCAGTAGTCTCTCTCGTAATCAAAAACTCCACATGGAGGTCACTGAATGATTAAACACCTTTGGAAAAGGGGTTGTCCCTGACAGGTAAAAATAAACTTCTGATTGGTTAACAATTAACGAGAGAATGAATATTATAATGAGAGGTGGAGTTTTTCTAATGAGGGGCTGGGGGACCTGACCCTGAAAGTGTCAGCACTCCAAGATCATTCTACTTCCAGCAAGCTATACAAAAGAATCTATTCACCCAGTCTATTTAAGTTGAACAATGGTGGGGTTATAGTGAGAATTCCACCTAGATAAGACAGTCTTGGGCAGGGTGGTAGTGTAGTTGTTTATCCTTAGTTCTTGAAGAAGACTATGACATCAGGAAAGTGATGTCATGACTTGTAAGTAAACTGGATGTAAGTGAGGCAGGGCTGTGCAAAGTCACCAGCCTCACTTTCTCCTCCAGAGCCATCTGGGTCCAGCAGCAAGATATAGATCAGGATGATTGGAGATGGCCCCAATCTGGGTAGGGTGAATTTTTGGGCAAGGTCAGAAATGTCCTTGAGAGACTAGGCATTGAATGAGAAAGCAAAAAGTGGATCGTTGGGTCCTGTATAAAATTGGCTATTAATACAAAAAGAAAATGATCATTTTTCTCAGAGGAGAATTTAAAACAAGTCAAATCCTATTCTAGGGAGACAGTATTTTTTTTTTCACTAACTAAATTATAGCACCAAATCAACCAAGCCTTGTTGCTGACAGATAAGTATATTAAATGAGGTCTAGGAAGGTGAGTAGCAAACAATGACTTTGCATCCTTAGGTCACTTTTGTCCAGGCTCAAATTCATTTGCAGCTAAATCCCAGAAGATCCTGGGAGGAGATAAAAGTGGCAGATCATAAGTTAGGTAGTTATTTCTAACATAAGGCTTTGATCTCTAGCCCAGACACAGGGGTGAAAAAGAAAGGGGATTTCGGTGCTACACTTTGGCCAGCCAGTGAAAAACTTTTTTCCTTACACTACTTTACACAAGGTAGACAACCTCGAGCATTTGTTTTTCCCAAGAGCTGTTATAGCAAGAAAATGTGAATAGGGTTAAGAAGCTTCAAAAAGGTGTAATGGGAATTTTTTTGTTATTTCTTTTTATTAATTTTTATTATCTAGAGCTCAGGGCCATTCCTCTGTAATTTTTGATTAACTGGAAGCCTGTCTTCTCTTAATATCAATCCTACCTAATCAAACCCTGATTTGTGGAGTAATAATAGTGTTAAAGGAATATTCTTGGCATTCCTGAGATAAGAAACTAAATGAGAGAAAGAATGGAACACAGCATCTTTAAAACCTCCCAAATATATTTTATTTGTGTAAAGATTTCCCTTACACCAGTCTTCATGACATGTAAGTCCTTTCCTCTGGAATAGCCCATTGTAACTTCTTTAAAATGTAGCCTTGTAGTTTTTTAAGTGTAGGATTTTGCAAACTCTGCTTAATCTGTAACCTGACTTAATTTACTTAAAGAGTTTAACTAGAGGGATGTATGAGATTATGATTTTGCTTAACTAAGTTTGTTTAACTTTCATGACTTTTGAAGGAAGCATGAGATTGTTTAACTTTTACACCCTAAGAGGAATGTTTGTTGTTGTTATTCAGTCGTGTCTGCCTCCTCGTGACTCTGTATGGGGTTTTGTTGGCAAAGATACTGGAGTGGTTTGCCATTTCCTACTCCAGCTCATTTTGCAGATGAAGAAACC